AAGGCAGTACTAGATTAATAGCCCTAAAGCTGCGTAATGATCTTTGTAAATAGTCCACCTTTCTTCAATTAGAAATAAAATCAAAGTTATATAATATTCTAGTTTGTATTGAAATTAGAAAGATATTTCTCTGGAAGAAGATTTTATTGAAGATAACATTTTTTATAAGGGGACTACGATAAATTTTCACTTGTAGGCAAAAGGAAAGAGTCATAAGGTTGATTTTTTTAAATAAGTTTTTGAAGCCATCTATCATTGTATTTTGGTATTCGGACTTGGCTACATATTTTATGTTTATCGATAAGGTCATATCTTAATCCCTCTTCTATATATGTATTATCATGTCTTGAATAGTCATATGAAAGTACTTGATAGTATTGAAGAAAAAATTAAGTTACTTTTTTTATAAAATTTTGGAAAAAAATAATAAAAAATTGATAAATTTTGAGCATGAAACCTGTCCACTTCGGAAGATTGTAAATAAAATAGAGATAAATAAATTCTCATTTTTTAATAGGTAAATTTTTTGATATTATCATTTTACATAATATGAGAGAAAATAAAACTTCTATCAGCATGCATCACCTGTGTTCATTTTAAATTTCAAGTGTCATATTTTTTATGAAAAAACATCTAAGCAGAACTAGGGAGGACATATTGAAAAGAAAGATAAATAATTCTTATGAACAATTCAAACTTGTAAATATGATTTAACAGTTATCTATTTCAACAATTTTTCACCTCAATTTGCAATATCCTTATTACTAGAATTGTGTATAACACTGCAGTAACACTGTAAAAGATTTATAGTGTACAAGTTTATTACTTCTTTACATTTTGGATATAGCTAGCTAGTTCAATATTTAAAATTTTAATTTAGAACATTCGACTAGTTTATTGATCATATGAATTTCATCATTAATTTTAAACCCTTATATAAAGGATAAATGCATTTATTTAAATCTATCTTTTGCACGTCCCCCACGTTCAAATTGAGTATTTTTTTCCTCGAAAGCTCAATTTGTACAATATTTCATGAATAAATAGTACAAAATTAAACATGCATGGTAAATCATATTGATTGGCAGTAAATATCATTAAAGAAGAAATTCTATCGTGCCTTTTATTGTTTACCCAAAATATGGTTAAACTTTTCTCCTCCTATACATATATGATGTATACAACATAACTTTGTCCACTCACTTGAGACCACCGATTAAAACAAAATGAGCTTTAATAATTGAAGTCATGTATTGAAGAATCTAAGTTCATTATTATGTCTCTAGCTAGTTTTCTAAGCTAATATGTAAATGACTGGCCAACCTAGTCAGGTCTGTCCACCAAATTTGTATTTATATTGATTTTCGCATTAAAATACTTTCATATTGAATAAAGTTCAAAATTTAAATTTTTTTCTGTTCAAAATAAAAATTTAGATTAGTTGATCTATTTTTCAAAATAAAATGGTTAATATAATGAACAGATTGTTGAGATGTAATCAATTCGATTAATCGGATAAAAGTAATTTTGTCAGGGAAAAGTAAAATAAATTGTTTATTTTAATTTGCTTAATTCTTTTAGATTTGCATGGAACTTTATTTTCAAAACGTCCATCATCTACACCACTCACCAGATGTAACAGGCTAGTGCTATACCTTTTGAGCCAAAAAATAATAATAATAAAATGACGTCACAACTTCAAAAATTGGATCATTATCTTAAGAAGTTAATTGAATAAACATGTAAATATCTTGATCCGTTCAAATCACGTTATCATTCATTTATAAAAGTCATGTATCTATCGCACATTTCATATAAAAATATTTGCACACACATTAGTGCACGTCCATCTATATCATTTTTAGTATTTAGATAAATCAATTCAATACCTATATAAAATATTTTAATGTTTAATAATTTTAAAATTTTAGATGAAATGATTTAATTTGATTTCAAAACATAAAAAATAATAATAATAAATAATAATAAAATAAATAGTCTTGAAATTATGTCTCCTTACCATTAGTTGTGCAAGTGTCTATCTTTTGACGTAAAAAATAGTGTGATATGCACGTAAAAGTATTGAGAAAAAATTAAAATAAATTAATGTATATGCTAGTGTTCAGATAATGTGATATCAACAGTAACTGTACTGGCCATTGTACTGCCTAATTTTATATATGATGTACGGAGAAAATTTCTGCTCATGGAAAAGGAAAATGATGATTTTCCGTAAAGAAAAATGGAAGAAAGATGCGCGTGGCCATGAATTAGGGTTCATGTTATTGTCCAAAAATAGATCTCAAAAATGACCATCATCTTCTATTCATTATGCCTATAATCATTATTTTTTGTGGCATTCAGCAGCATGCCCCCGCCCTATCCCCTTCTCATATACTCTTCCTATATATACACACACTTCTGTAACAGTAATTGCACCTCAACTTCCATCAGGGCTCGTTTTGTCGTGATTTTCTCTTGAATTCTTAAGACTTCTGTAGCTAAACGAAAAGAAATACTTTCTTTTTTTCCTTTTTCTTTGAAGTGTGAACTTTAATATTTGCATCTTTCGTCAATGGCTGTTTCTGGATTCGAAGGATTTGAGAAGAGGCTTGAGTTAAACTTCTCCCACGATGATCCGGCGATAGGGATAGGTTTCCGGCAGCTGGATTTTCAGTCTCTTGAGAAAGTGTTGCATGCAGTGCAGTGCACAGTAGTATCAGCACTTGGAAATCAGTATTTTGATTCTTATGTTTTATCTGAATCTAGCCTGTTTGTATACCCTACAAAGATCATTATCAAAACATGTGGGACCACCCAGTTGTTGAAATCCATCCCTCCATTGCTACATCATGCTGCTTCAATGGACCTTAACATCTGTGCATGCAGATATACCAGAGGAAATTTCATTTTCCCTGAAGAACAACCTTATCCACATACAAGTTTTGAAGAAGAAATTGTTTATTTGGAAGAGAATTTGCCTGAAAATCTTTGCTGTAGAAAGGCTTCTGTGATGCCTTCAAAGTTATCTTCTCACTCATGGCATGTATTTTCAGCTTGTGACCAGTCTAAAATGGTGCTGCACAAGAGCCCATATGATGATCAGCTCTATACTTTGGAAGTTTGCATGACTGGGCTGGATAAGGTCCTGGCCCGGAAGTTTTTCCGATGTCCAAATAGTGGTAATGATGAATCACCTCATCTAAATTTACTTATTTAAATAAGTATTAAGATGTCATCTCACGTGCAAGCTAAAACACATTTGTTTAGACACGTGCACAACTTTTATAACCGAGTAGAATTCTGGTTCTTTGCATTCTCTTGAACTATACAAAATCATCTTGTTTAAAAGTTTAAAGTTAAATTAAAACAGGTAAAACCGGAGATTCTGTCGGAAAAGAGATGTCGGAATCAAGCCGTGTATGTGACATCAACCCTAATGCACTAATTTGTGAATTTGCATTTGATACTTGTGGGTATTCAATGAATGGCATTGATGGTGATCGTTATTCAACAATCCATGTTACGCCAGAGGATGGATTTAGTTACGCAAGCTTTGAGTGTGTGGCTTCAATTTACGACGATATTGTGGAGGTGTTGAACAAGGCGGTGCAAGTTTTTCGGCCAGCGACTGTGTCAGTGGCAACCACATGCACCAACCGTGAAGTGTGGATGCTAGTGGCAAAGGCAATCGAACCACTAGGAATGAAATTGAGGAGTTGCACCATGGATGACATTTCGGCCGTCGGGAGCATCGTTTTCCAAGTGTTCACAAGTCGATGAATATATGTCGTTAGTGGTGATTGTAGTACTGGTGCATTGGTTCGAGGGTTAGAGTTTAGTAGAAATTCATTTTTTCCTCTTCTTTTTTTTTCTTTTTTTTTTTTTTTTTTAATATGGATATTATGCTTGCTAATTTCATTATATTGGATGGTTAATTACTATTAAATTTTGGGGAGGGGGGGCGAGGTTATGGGGATGATGTAGGTTTGGCATGATATTGCACCACACTTAAATTTTGCACGCCTAGATTTTGAGGGTGCAATGCTTAGTGGAGATGAAAGTGGTCATGGGAACTTCACTGTAATTTTCTCTCATGCTTTTAATTCCTTACAATTCACGTACATATCTTTTCTCTATACTTTTTTGTCTCTATTAGCATATCATACAATTTTTTTATTTTTTATTTTTATATATTTTTCTCTATATATTATCGCATCGTATACATTATCTTAATATAAGTTTTTTTGTCTTAATTATTTAATTTCCCATTTTAGCTTCAAAGGGAATGATATCTATACTTTTAATTCCCTTTGACAGACAAATCATCATAGTTCTTCATGAAGTTTGATTTCCATTTAACTCAAAGAAACTACCTCCAAGAACATTTTGTTGCACAAGCTACAATGTTAATAGAAACAAGTGAGGGGTAATTTTGCTTCCAGCTGCATCTTTTAGAAACTTGCCAAGAAGTAGTTAGGTAATTCTATTAAGTGCCTATAACATGTTACATTAATTCATCGATGCATAAGTTTACGATGGTTTTCAAGATTTGAATTAAATTTATTTTCCATCAATAGATTGATGTAACATATCATTGGTGCTTTGTACATCATTTCTCGTATTTACAAACACTTTAAGTTATAAATGGACATAAATAAGTAATAAATAAGTGTGTAGTACTTGTGAATCATTCGAAATATATGGACGAAAAGTTATTTGAATATTTATAGAAAAGTTTATTAACATCAGCCAAAAATAGATTATGTTGTCAAAAAAAAAATAATAAATAAATAAAAATGCAGTAATGGAGAACAAGAATTGAAGAGGAAGATGAATGAAATAAATCAAAGAATACATGAACACGAAAATAAAATCGTTGTTTTCAAACGATATTTGCCTCCTTCACAATGCTTTTAAGGATTAAAATGACATAGTTTGTACGATTAATCAATCCTTTAAAGAAGAACACTAAAAGAAAAGTGATCTCCAAAATGAACAAATATGTACATAATACATAGTACATACAACTCACAATGATCTAGATCTAGTACGTACATGGTGACAAAAGTTCAAACTTTAAAATTTCATTGGCAAATTCATCTCCAACTTTTTTGACAATTGTATCCCCTATCTTTAAAAGAGTAGCTCCATTCAACCAAATACATAAAAGTTTTCCATTAGTCAACTCATTTTACGAGCAAAGTTGAAAATTTAAAAGAGAAAAATATTTTTTTTTAATTTTATTATTATTATTATTATTTTTTATTTTTTTTTTAAAAAGTTGATGCCTACGAGTTAGCTTACTTTAATACTCTCTATACTGACCTCGTTATAAGTTTCATTAATACGTCTATTTCAACGTAGACAACCCAAGCTAGCAATCACCAAATCCACATACAATATCAATTATCTGGATATCTAAGCCAATTCAATTATCACAAGAACATGGCTCACATCCCAATCCTATAAAAATTTCATTGAATCGCAAAAAATAAAAAAAAATAAAAAAAAACCCAAATATCCACAAGATAAACACATTAAACATAAAATAATTCTTGCTTCATTGCATATGGATCCAACCTTTTTATTCAACCCACACTGAAATTGCATGCTTAAAAAGAGAATGATCCAATACCAATCCTGATAATAACAACAATGATGAAAATATATTCCCAATCAACAAAGTTTTTGCCTACTTTTCCCCGTTCATATAAAAAGTAAAATTTCCTATAAATGAATTTTGTCCAAGAACAATTTAAATTAAAAAATTGAATTTCCTATAAATGCAAATATCGAATGAAATAAATTATAAAAGACCAAAAACTAAAAATATAAAAGCCCAAGCTTCCCACTTGGGCTTTAAATAATTTTGTAGGGCCTATTTACTTCTGTTGCTTTCTTTGCAGAGGCTGGACTGGACTATGTTTCTTCCTGTCCATTCAGGTAAACATTGTTCACTAATTGATATATCTCAAAACATAACAAGCTCTTATGCAAGAATTTATTTGTTTGTACAATGGCCCTTTTTTTCCTTTTTTCTTTTTCTTTTCTTTTTTTTTTTTTTTTCGTTGCATAAGCTGACACTGGAAATTCATTAATTGTGTCGGCGAAAGTTCAATCAAGATTTTTGCATCGTATGATTTTTAACTTCTTCAATATTCGATATTGTCCATTACATTTTACTAACAAAATTTTAATTTATTTTTCCTGGGTAGTTATCGGGTGTAATTTATTTATGGTTTCTTCTTGCTAGGCTGGTTGCTGCTCAAGTTGCAGAATGAGGAAAAACTATTGGACGAACATTTTGCAGACTTCTGACAAGCAATTTGTGAAAAAGAAATAGGAATAAGCTGTTTGTACAACATCCTCACAGCTCGGTGGGGCTCGCACCAATAAAAAAATGATGCGGACCTCCCAATGTAAGGGTGCTGTTAACCGAGCTGTGTGCCATGTTGTGCACACAGCTATGGCACACAGCTCGGTCCAAATAAATACATTTATAAATTCTGAAAATAAAAATGAAAAAGAAAATTCATATAAAAGTTCATGCACATGTAAATAATGTCATTGTTTCGCGCGGGTTAAGTCGCTAACAATTAAAAAGGGTCAGACGATTGTGTAAGGGACGAAACCTCTTGAAACAAAGTCCCAAAAAGTGGTGTTCTTTTATTGGCGATGGACTTTACAATTGGGAATGAAAAACAACGTGCCTCCAAGAGGCGCAAACACACGAGTTACAGAAAGAAAAAATGTTTAAGTCTAAAAGCTAAGGAAATGAAAATTACATATTCTCTGTTTAAGAGTTTTGGATTCGGTCCTTTACTTCTGCGTTTTTTTTCCCTTTTATACCTCATAGACGATCTCTTCGTGATTAACTACCCTGAAAACTGCTTGATCGTCCTATAACTTCTCACTTTCTTTGTAGTGGCCATTTTGTCATAAAACTGCCTCTTAACTGCTGCCATTATCTTTCATCGTTCAATCGCTTTCGATTGAATTCCTTGAGTAGTGGAACGTGATAATGCTACTTTAACAACTGCCTTGATAACTGCATTCCTTGATAACCACGATGCGTTATATTTGTTGATACCTTGGACGACTTGAAGGTTTGGGCGAGAGTGGAATAACAGCTCTGGGCGACCGTATGACACTCCATTTGTTCAGATTCTGGGCGACTCGCAAACTTGGGCGATGGTGTCACCGCATTCTTGGGCCTCTTATTTGGGCCTTCACCTTGATTCGTTTAATTGGATTTCGTTCTTTGGGCTATCCGATTTGGGGATCCTTCAATTGAGCTTTATTCCTTGGGCTGTTCGATTTGGGCTAAATTTTTATGTGTCAACAATTACCCCCCAATATGGCAGAATTAATAATAATTATTGAATTTTGCCATATTCACTTCATGTTTCCAGCGACGTTCGAAGTTCCCAAGAATTTCAATCATTGTTTCCTTCTATAACTTGAAGAAGTGCGTCGTTTTACAAACCCTTATAAACCCCAAACATTCCATTTTACTGCTACCAAATCACGTCTCATATTTTCTGCGTCTCTTTCACAATTCACTGTTCATCTTTTGCTTCCTTGTTACGTAACCCTGAAAAGTTTCGTTCATTCTCCAATAGCTGCTTCACAATCTCAAGCTAGCGATTCCTTTAGTTTTGATGACTTTCAGAAACTTCTGAGTCGCCCATACATAACCCCAAGTTTTCTCGCGCCCGCCGACGTTGGACGTAATGAGTTTTACTTGGGTCCTTTCTTCAACAATGCGGAGGCAGTTGAACAGGCGGCGGTGGGTCAGCTGTTTCCTTGCACTCATGGCCCTCCTTTTCTAAACTCTCTGTCGCTGGGGCCACTTCGCGAAAGAGGTATTCGCACTTGGCCTAAATCTGATGTAGCTTTTCGTATTTGGCATGCTCGCCTTGTGGGTCATGGTCCTACTAAGGCACTTTTTGATAGCGCTAGGATTTCTGATTTGTTAGAATTCTCTATTCGCCCCCCTACTTTTGACTCAGCGCTCTTTCCGATTGCTTTGAGTTTTTGGTCCTCTGAGTACAACACCTTTATTTTTCCTCTTGGCCCCATGTCTATTACGTTAAGGGATGTTGGGGCCCTGGTGAATTTACCACCTTTGGGCGATACCATTTTCCCAGGTATCTTAGTTTCTAGTGGCGCCCCACAGTTCCGTAAAAACTACACCGATTCTTATTCAAGCCTGCAGACCCTCCATAATCATTCGAGCGCTGAGCCTACCCATGCTGAGCGGGTGGCCTTTCTTTTAGTTTGGCTTTGTAAATATGTTTTGTGTGTGCTAAGTATAAAACCTTCTCTGAGTTATTTACCTATAGCGCACGAATTGGCGCGTGGCAGGCCTTTGAATTTATGTTCTTTGTTTTTGGCTGCCCTTTATAGGGGCATGGCTTTTCTTCAGGCTCAATTGAAGAATGGTGTATCTCCCGCTGGCAGTGGACCTCTTTGGTTCACTCAACTGTGGTTGAGATCCTATTTTCCATCGCTTGGTGCTCCATCTATTTCTCATCCTTCTGCTAGCTGTTACGGGCTAGCTATGGAGCCCTTAACTCCTGTAAATATGTCCAGAAGGGACATTTTTTCATTCTTTTATTCTTTAGATTCAATTTCTTCCTTCTTTCCTTTTCCTCCTTTTTTGACTCCAAACTATGTACATCCCCCTTCCACTATAGATAGCGCGAGCACCTCTCTGCTCATTTGGATCCAGTTTTTAACTGGGAGGGAGCTTTTCCATGATATCTTAACTGGGACCAATGCCAAAGC